TCGAGCATAGTGCTCCCAACAACTACCGGCATAGGTGTGACATGGACATTGAACATGATCTTTGTTTTGTCCATGTTCATCTTAAGACCTATCCGTTGGGAGGCACTATTGAGGTCATTGAGCATAGTGCTTAAGTCCTCCAGCGATTCTGCCATAAGGACTATATCGTCGGCAAATCGAAGGTGAGTGATGTACTCGCCATTGATGTCAATACCGTATCCTTTCCAGTCCAGTAGCTTGAAAACGTCTTCCAATGCAGCGGTGAAGAGTTTCGGGGATATAACGTCACCCTGTCTTACACCTCTCTGCAGTTGGATAGGTTTCGAGCTCTGGTTCTGTACTCGGATAGCCATCGTAGCCCTACTGTACAAACACTTCAGCACTTCGATATACCGACAGTCAACTTGGCACCGCTGAAGGGACTGTAGCACCGCCCAAATTTCGACGGAATCAAAGGCTTTCTCATAGTCCACATACGCCAGGCAAAGTGGCAGATTGTACTCTTCAGTCTTCTGTACAATCTGCCGCAGGGTATGTATGTGGTCTATGGTACTGAAGCCTTTTCGGAAACCGGCTTGTTCGGGAGGCTGGAAGTCGTCAAGTCTGCGTGCGAGACGATTCGTAATGACTCTCGAAAACAGCACGTAGACGCGGCTCAGAAGGGAAATCGGTCTGTAGTTCTTTAAGAGAGCGTTGTCGCCTTTCTTAAAGAACAAGACCACCGCACTTCTGCTCCACGCCTCTGGAGTAGTGCCACCATGGAGGACGGAATTGAAGAGCTTCTGAAGGACTTCAAGTACCGGTGTTTCACCCGCTTTCAGAAGCTCCGCTGTAATTCCATCCTCGCCTGGGGCCCTGCCGTTTTTAAGGTGCTGGAGAGCCATTCTAATCTCGCTTAGACTGACGTCCGGGATATCATCGGAATAGTGTCGGATAAGACTTGCTCTTGGATCGTTACTCACACTTGCGTGTGGCTCCAACGATGATGTGTACAGCTGCCCATAGAACCTCTCAATCTCACTCAAAATCTCAGGTGTCCCGGAAACGATGTTGCCACACTCAGTCTTCAGCCTTGACAGTTGGCTCTTTCTGGCAGACAGATCTCTGGCAAAGACTTTGGAGCCCTGGTTCCGCTCGATCGCTTCTTTAATACGAGAAGTATTAAAGTTGCGTAAGTCTCGCCGTATGCATTTGGAGATCTGTCTGTTCAGTTGCCTGTATGCTGTCAAATCTGTTGACGATTGCAGCCTCATCTCCCGTCTAACAGCCATGAGATTAAGAGTGTGATCGGAGAGTTTTTGTGTTCTTCTGCGGCGGGTCTTGCAGAACTTAGCTCCGACCGCATGGACAGTTTCCACGAGCTTGTCGTTCATATCGTCCACTGCATTGCAATCTTCTAGGCACTGGAAGCGGTTACGTAACTCGAGCTGAAAGGTTTCGGGATTCTGGATTAGAGCACGAGGGGGACGGAGCGTTGACTTCATTAGACGAGACCTCTCCAACTTAACGTTTAGGTTCAGTGTGCCTCTAACCATTCGGTGATCGCTGCCAGTTTTCACCCTTGCGATCACTGAGACATCACTGAACAGTTGGCGTCTGTTTGTCATAATGAAGTCAATCTCAATTTTTGTCGAACCGTCGGGGCTCGACCAGGTCCACTTCCTGTGGGGCCGCTTCTGGAAGAAAGAGTTCATCATAAAGAGTCCCTCTTTCTCCATAAAGTCGGCCAGCTGCTGGCCCCTTCGGTTCCGTTGCCCTACTCCAAATTTCCCTACCTTCAGCTCACCGCTTTCTCTTGTGCCCAGTTTTGCGTTGAAGTCTCCCATCAACACCGTGTAGTAGGTTTTGGAGGAATGTATGGCTCTGGAAATATCCTCATACATTTCCTCCACCTCCTCATCGGGATGTGCCGAGGTTGGTGCGTAAACCTGAATGACCTTCAGCGAATACCGTTTGGTGATTCTGAGTATCAGGTACGCGACCCTCGTCGACACACTCCCAATCTTTACAACGTTGTTGACGAGAGATTTGTGGACGATAAATCCGACACCTCCTTGGGACAGATGGTCGCCCTCCCGGTGATAGAACAAGTTGCCGGACTCGAGGATTGCCGTGTCCTCCCCCTCTCTTCGGACCTCGGATAATCCAATAATATGCCAGCGCAACTTGTCTACCTCTTCTTCCAGCTCCAGTATCTTCTCGTCAGTCCTCAGGGTGCGTGCGTTATATGTTGCCAGGTCGAGTCGTTCGTCGTCGTCGAAATTCATTTTCATATTGTGTTATTTATTTAAGTGTGATAGTAAGATTTAATCTATCTATAATCAAAATCTATAGTGTGTATTTTTCTTTATATTATAAAAAAGTTATTATAAATGGTATATATTACTAGATATAATATATGTAAATACATACATACCATAATATATGTATTATTAAATGAGTATTCCAATTTTTATTTAAAATGCCAGCTTTTAGCGATACCTATCTCAATCAAGGTCATCGGGCTTGTGCTCAGAGTAATAACAACATACATGTGCTAGTAATTACTCTAAGGGCTTGTAACATCGATATTTGACATGATATCATTAAAAACCGTGAGCTATCTAGTAAAACCAAGTGAGTTTGTGCTCTTTGGTCTAGAGTAATTACGCGAGTTTAAAACTCTACTGTGATAATATCTACCTCCGCGGAACATAGTGTAAATTGTACTGTTAATTACTGCGAAGAAACGAACTTTAGAAGTGAACTGCTGGAGTCAATCCGGCAATTTTCGAAGCAACTGCTGTTACTGCGTGCTCTTGCGAATGCTGCGTGCTGTGGAGTCTCGCTAGTCTACTGTCCGTTAAACGAGCAAATCCTCGGTGCTGCTTGTGAAGACTGATCTGCTCGGGTTCGATGTGCACTTATAAGCTTTTTGACAAACAAATACAATCCACCTGATGGTAAGAGGACCCTGTACTATATAGACATTCTACATCCTCAATTAAGAATCAAAATGCAGATGCGTTGTCACCCGTGAGGACTAAAATGGAATGCCACGTTTCCAGTAGAAAGGTTCTCCTATTCTCTACACTTACCATTACGCAATTATACGTTTATATTTTTTATATGATATGGTGACAAACGGGCACACAGTCCAGGTTATAAGTGGTTGCTGTGGCTCATAGACATCTACATCTATCCTCGATTACGAATTAAAATGCACCCGTGAGGACTAAGATGGAATGCCCCGTTTCCAGTAAGAAGGGTCTCCAATTCTCTACACTCACCATTACGCAACTGTACACTCACCATACGAAACAGTGCAACATCAAGCTACTATTTCACGCTGGTATTCTGTGAGAGCGTGGTCCTTCCCCGGTCGAGCCGACCCATTCGTGCTACAACTATAAGTGCAGCATGGCTCTACCACGTATAAAAATTATTTAAAATCGTAAGCGTAATTCTGTAAAAGCGTAGTCCTAGATGCAGCATGGCTCTACCACGTATATAAATTAAATAAAAGCTCCAAACTTTTAGGACTTATTTCTGAGTGCATTAAAGAACATGCCTCAGTTACTGTTTTCGATGTACTGTTATTGTTTTCCATTCTGTATACATGAGCTACTTTAATATTTACTTAAAAAATAGATAATAAAAAACAATCCTCATTCCTCCAGTCAGAGCAACCTCTATGATGAAAAAATTATTCTACATGTTCTACAAACTACAGTTAACAAGGATTTAGTAGATAGTAAGTATAAAAAATAGTAGAATGAATCCTGGATTTTGAAAAAAATTTATTACATATTACAGCCCTTCAGCCCTTAAGTGTGGTCCCTTTACACACACACACACACACACACACATATATATATATATATATATATATATTATATATGTGTGTGTGTATTATAATATATATATATATATATATATATATATATATATATATATATATATATATATATATTTTTTTTTTTTTTTTTTGTTTGCCATATGTATTTTTTACTCGTTTGCCCACTCTTATATATACAAACGAGCATGCGGCTCACCTGATTGTAAGTGACTACCGTCGCCCATGAACAACTGCCTCATTTCTTACAAAAAAAGACGTATTATTTTAGTAAAAATTATTTAGTTCGATACCGTTACATTTAAGTTTTTATTAAAACTCCTAATATCCTAGTGATTGTTGAAATTAGTCCATCAATCCAGACCTTTACTATCAATATATGCGTAGGACCTTTACTATCAATAAGCATTTATAGTGTGCTTTTTACGAAAGGAATATTAGAAAGTTAAAGTTTCTACTAAATAATCGAAAACTTCAATTGTATATTGATTTGACCTATTAGCTGAGATAGTCATTATATATTTATCCTATGAAAATACGCCATATACTATTCGTATTAAGATGCTTCTTTACATTCTTGATAGCAGTACATGATAGTAAATAACGAATCCTAGAATTTTGTGCGGGCCCGTTTTCGAATTCTAGCCAAAGCCAACAATTGTGCAAAATACTAATTGAAGAGTGTTTATATTCGATACTCACTGTCCGTATGTACCTAGGATCTTATTTGAGTTCTTTCGATTCATCCAAATGCATCAAGACTAAACGTGTGTGCTACAAACTTCATTTATCTTCTGTAACATGATGTGTGTTAGTGTTTGATGTTTGTTTTAATAAATAATATTTCTTTCTTTATTCAAATTTACGAGTAAATATCCTCCATACTTATTCGTAAATTTGTAGCTCAAAATTTCCGAACAATAAAATCTCATTGTCATAAATTTTTTCATATTTTTATAATAATGTTACATAGGACATCTTCGTTTCATCGCTAGTAACAAATACCAAAAAATCTTTTGATTGCAATAATTTGACAATTCTAGCACCTGATCGTACTATCGTAAGCATTCCATATTTTTAGTAATATATACAGCGATTAGTGTAAAAAATTTATCTTATTGAAAATTACGAATTGAAATTCTTTTATTGAAACTTTAAAATATAATTAGGCGGACTCCACTGTAACTGCATCTTCATCATTTAGACCTTTGTTAGAATTATCTGCTGATGGAAAATTTGGGATGATTGATGGGAATTGTGGGAACTGTGGTGAAGAGGCACCTCCCTGTGAAGGAGGGAACTGTGGAATCGATGGAAGTTGCGGGATCTGAGGCAAAGATGGACCTCCCTGTGAGGGAGGTAACTGGGGAATCGATGGAATTTGCGGAATCTGAGGCAAAGATGGACTGCCCTGTAAGGGAGGGAACTTTGGAATCGATGGAAGTTGCGGTATCTGAGGTAAAGACGGACCTCCCTGCCAGGGAGGAAGCTGTGGGATTGATGGCAATTGGGGAGGCTGTGGAAGCTGTGACTGTTGTGGGAACTGTGGGAACCCAAATGACTGAGGAATTTGAGTTAACGAAGTAAATTGAGTTTTTTGTTGGTTTGCTGCATAAGACGGTGCGTTCTCCGATGATTGTGTTTGTCCAGAACTCTCAGAACCAGATGTTTGTTGCTGATCTTGTTGTTGCCGAGATGCGAATTCTGCCGACTCTATAACAGTTGTATCCGTGTCTCCTGCTTGTTGCTCTGAGGAAATGGCAGCCGGATTACTTGGCTGAGCTGGAGTGCTTGGAGCACCTTGTATAGGCGATCCAGGTTGACTGGGAGTGGCTGGTTGTAATTGAGGATAAATGAGACTGCCTGCTGGAATATACGAAGCACTCGCTACTGGGTATAATGCTGGCTGGCCAGGCAAAGGTGAAAAAGCTGTCACCTGCGGAATTTGATACGCATATTGTGGTCGTATTCCATACGAATAGTGTGCTGGTAACTGAAAAATAAAAATACGACGTTATAAAAATCTTAATCTTTTATTATTTTTAGTAATATTAAAATTTATATACATTGAAAATAAATGTTTCAAAATACTATTTTTGATATATTTAATATGGTCCCTGTTCATTGAGATAATTAAATTTTTTAATAAGTAGTGAAAACCAAATGAAAACACGCAAAAAATGCAATCATCTGGGATTGGACATATGGCAATATATTTGACTTTCGATAGGCTGCAATGATTAAATTAATTAGTTAATTTATATTATTAAGATAACTAGCATTTTGTATTCAACCACTCATTTTTAAAATTAATAATAAATGTGTTTCACATCTCAACACTGAGGGTTCACAAGGAAAGGAAAATGACGACTTTTTAAAGTAAATAGAAATCGTACAGTTATACAAAAAAATTATCAATTAAAATTAATTGTTATTATATATATCATCTCTCTCGGATTGTAATAATGTTAAAGTGCAGATGACCCCAGGACGAATTTGGCATCAGGATTAGCATGGCAGATTAACTATAAGTCGTTTCGCGAATAATATTAGAGGGCTACTCCCTTTCAAGGGATAATTTTTTATATGTGACATACACAAGATCGTACCTATACCGCTATCTATCAGAGTTCGTGATTTTTTTTGATTATTCCCTTAGCAATCTTAGACAAACAGGAGAAAATGGTAAAAATTTATTTGTTTACATTATATATTCATATATATAATATGAACAATGATATAAATATATATTATAAATTAATTACGGTTTAATAGTCGCTTAAGAGATTCCACACTGCCTCTTATTTATCTTACGGCTTAAAAAGACCTGAGAGTCCAATGAACTCCAAAAGGCAACCGGCTAACAGAACTAACACCATTTATACATGGTAAACGTGGTAGATCAATACTGCAGTTATATTGTGGTTGTAGCAGTTGTGAATGGGTCGGCTCGACCGGGGTAGAACCATGCTCTGACAGAATACCAGGGTCAAGTAGAAGTTTAATGCTGCTGTGTTTCGTGTGGTTAGTGTAGGGAACCGGGGACCCTTTTTACTGGAAACGAGGCATTCGAGGAAATTATTTTCAACCGAATTCAATAAAGGAGGATGTTCTCAATTCGACTTAATTTTTTATGTGTTATTATTATTACCTCAGAACATTTTTCTAGGTGAATGGATTTTGATGTTTCTTTTTTTATTTGAAAACTGGTACTTCTCCTGTAATCCCATATAAATATTTATTCAGCTTTGATCAGTAGTTTTTGAGTTATCTTTAATAATGCATATTTAATTGACTTCGACTACATTGAAGATGTTCTCATTTTATTTATATTGACGTCGGTTGTACAATTTTTTTTACTTTACTACTTCAATACTTTTTACTTTTTGTAAAACGGTAAATTTAATCGATTATAAACATCTATGTAAAAAACTTCAACGGCACGTATATATTTATTGAGACGAAGGTTTTAGCAAACAGTAGCAGATGATTTACTATATATGTAAAGATTTTTAAAACTTACTGCGTTAATATATTGTGTTGTAGAGTACGCGAAGCCCTTTGTAGTAGCTGGTTGGACCAGAGTATTCACCAGTGGAGTTGAGTACGCCACTGCCGCCCCGGGCCACGAGACTGCGCTGCCAGACACGCATGTCGCTGCGCACAACAATATAGCTACCAATGCCTGCACAATGTTTATTATTATTTATTATTATAGCTTTGAATTTCTTAACCACTCTACACAGTTATGTGTAATCAATTAATTTTCTTACAAGTAATATGTAAATATCTACACAAACATTTGAAGGCTTTTATTTAGCTGCAATAATAAAAAATCTTCTACAAATCAATCATCTACAAAAATAAAAAACGTAGTCTGCGAAAATATCAAAAATTTGATTAGCTGGTCCTGTACGTATATAAAATATCTGAACAATTTGAAATTTAGCAGACGAATTATGTACCATTGACAATACAACAAATTCATGATTATAACCTATTTTATTTATTCGTAACAGATCTTTCTTATACAGCCTGACGTATAAGATTCACATATATACGGATATATAGATATACATAAAAATTTAAACATAAAAACCATTTACTGGAAAACATGACTCTTCATTGATCATCGAGAGATGATTAAAACAATGTTATAAATTCCGATTCTAAACAATGTTATAAATTGTAAATAAAAGCTAATCCTGTACATTAATTCATAGTAAATGTTATAAATAATTAAAGTAAATGTGTATATTTGTATATCAACGGAAATAAATATGTTTTATAATAAGTAGGTTAATATTTCTTGTCATGAATTTCTATCAAAGTAGAAAATATTAGATATTTATAATTAATGAAGTTATATTTCAACCAAAAAAGACAAAAAAAATTGAGCTTTTATTTACTATGTGAACCTATATAGGTTCATGTTTATTAACACAGAATATATTTTTAAACTATTTTAGTTTCTATTATAAGCGTACAAAAATAATACTGATTTAACATTTTTAGTTATTGCTTATTTTACAAGCCAATGTTTGTCTACTGCTCCACTTGATGGTAAATGGTGATGCAGCTGGAGATGAGGATGAGAAGAAGCTGAGTCAGCTCAACAAAAGCCTATTCACTATTACCTTTAACAGACTCCTATTTTAATTGGATGGAAAGATAGAACGCAAATTACTCCAGTATATTATTAGGTTTACAATGTTCAAGTTCGTGCTCAAATAAAATATATTGTTAAATAAATTACTTAAGAATATATATTGAAATAATTTAGAATATATATTTAAATAAGTTAGCATAAACATAACGCCGGCAGTTACACACATCACGAAGCTTTAAAAATAATTACAAACAATCCCACATGCTAGCGTCCGTACCTTCATATTGGAGGCACCACTGTATCGAGATCACTATAATACTATATCAGTTTCTTGTCGTCTTTTATATACTCTATACTACCCCGCCCACAAACCGCCACGAACAGAAAGAAAGGAACTAGATGTGGCAGCCGAATTTGTATTCAGTCAATGTACAAGCACATTTCTTACAAATATTACACAACAGATACTTAGTATTTTAAAAAGCCAAACCAAGCTAATGTCTTAATCTATCAACGATTACAATATTTAGTGTAGATTATTTTGTTTCAAAACAACAATATTCCGAGATAAATATATAATAAAACTATTTCAATACAGAACAGAAATATAACTTAACATCAAGGGAATTACATTCCCTAATAAAATATACAGAATAATATTTACAAATATATTTACGAGTATATAGAAATAGATTATTTTTATTAGATGAAGAATAACTTCTTTCATGCTTGTATTTGTACTATGTTTAATCTTAAACATAGGCTATTAATTTCTTTAAGAATTTTTATGCACTCAATGTAGAACAGAAATATTATTTAACATCAAGGGAATGTAATAAATATACAGAACAATATTTACAAATATTTATTGTGAAATAAATTATTTTTATTAGATGAAGAATAACTTATTTCATACTTATATTTGTACTATGTTTAATCTCAAACATAGGCTATTAATCTCTTTAAGAATTTTTATACACTCAGAACAGAAATATTATTTAACATCAAGGGAATGTAATAAATATACAGAACAATATTTACAAATATTTACTGTGAAATAAATTATTTTTATTAGATGAAGAAAAACTTATTTCATACTTATATTTGTACTATGTTTAATCTAAAACATAGGCTATTCAATTCTTTAAGATTTTTTATGCACATTCCTTCATTTCATATTTAACATCGTACTGAATAAAAAGTTTAATAATAATAAAGACTTAATATTCTATGTAAATTACAAAATCACAATAAAGAAGACTGTCAATTCGAATTAAGTTTATTTTCAAAACAAATTAATATTTTTGTATTTGTAATATCAATAGAATTTCAAGATATATAGGCTTATGAAGTCAGCATTTTTTTAATCGTTCTTACAACTTCTTTTGGAAGTAAAGGACGTAAAGCTGGTATTCCTTGACGCCAAGTCGTCATTATGATATTTACAAACGCTTGTACAACCAAGCCAAAAACTTTTTCTTGGCGGATCGTGGCAACGGGAGTGTAGAAAGCTGCAAAGAGAATATAACGTTGACTAATGAGTTTTAAGAAATTATGTCCTCATATAAAAAGTTAAGAGATATTAAAAACATTACATAAGTCACTACTCCTCTTGGATCGCAATTTATAGTGCCCGGAAAGGTTCTCTATATTCTCCGTTTTTAAAACATCAGTCAGCGTATTTCTATGGCCATCAGATACTCGATTAGTATTATTAGACAGCTAAAATTGATAACACAATTTATTCAGCAAAGGTCAATATATACGGTTAAGAAATCAATAAAAACTTTATTAACGATACCGTTAAAATACGGAATGCGTTAATATGTGCATTAGCTAGATAACCGCCGCATTATCGGGTGAGAGCCGTTAATGTGCGAAGTTTTACTTAACGTAACAAATACCCGTATCTGCTCTTTATCTATTTAATCTGCATATTAACGGATTCTACGCCGTTAAATCGGGGACGACAGAGAATTGTTTGTATTTAAGTTTAATTACTATATTTTATGTTATTGCCTTTTACCGTCGGACTGTTTTTAGTCTTTTTTTTTGTTGATTTTATTGAAGTGAATATGTAAATTATTTTAGTCAATTTCAGTTTTAGTTAATTACCCATTGTTGACCAAGAACGTTAGATAAAACTTCATTTGACTCTTATTTTTTGAATATTTGTAATAAAAAAGTTCACTTCTTTCAATATTATATTTTATATCATTGTAATGTATGCGGCTTTGGGGTTGTCCAAGGGCCATCACAGCCACACCTTAACCTTTTTATTGTTAAAAAAGAATGTTACTGATATTGCCAGTTTTGACCGATAGTCTGAACTTTAAATCAGACAAATCCACTTTTGACTAAGAACGTTGGTCAAAACTACTTTTGGCTTAAATTTAACAATGAATTAGAATGTTTCATTCAAGCAAATAAACCAATTTTATTCACTTAAACGAATGCTTAGTCGTTATTCCGCAGATTACCCAGAAAGTCTAAAGATTAACTAGTTAAAGTAAAAACTGATTTTTTTCGCATTTTAACGGATTCAGCTAGGTAATCTCAAGATTAACTGGTTAATCAACAATATAACTGATTTACGCACTTTAGCGTTAATATACGATGATGTTGTTGGTGTTATTGCAGCTTTTTGAGATATTTGCCTCATTCGTAATAGCTTATAATAATCCATTGCTAATTGCGGGTCTCTCGTAGCAATAGGAAGAGTTTGCTTAATTGCTTAATCGCCGCGTACCATATGTATTGCACATTTGACGCTGTTTTCTGATGCCGGTCTAGGAATCTCTCATTCAATATAAAATAGGAGAAGATTATAACTGCCACTATCCATCAAATGCCACAATATCTTAAGAGAATTTACGTAAGTCGCAATTTACAATACCAATAGGATGAGGTAGAATAATGGATTGGTTATTTGATGATAGATTAATATTTTAAATTATTATAATTGGACTAAAATTACAGTTTCAAAGATGTCCTCACAAAGAATTGTGATACACTGAGGGCCTATTAAATATAAATTAAATCAAAATATGAATTTCTTGAATACGACAAACAAACTACAGGAAGGTATGGATGAGTTTTTTTGTTATTAATAGTGCATCATGCCTGATAAGTACCGATATTTAAACGACATTCTTTTTTTTTTATAGAAGAGGGGGGCAAACGAGCATGTGGCTCACCTGATGTTAAGTGACTACCGCCGCCCATGATCAACCGCAACACCAGGGGAATTGCAGGTGCGTTGCCGGCCCATTAGAAAGGAGTAAGCTCTTGTCTTGAAGGTCCGGAAAAATCACCGGTGGTAAATTCTTCCACAGAGAGGTTGTACGCGGAAGAAAACTCCTTTTAAAACGTACAGTGGTGGACCGCCAAGCATCCAGATGGTGTGGATGGTATCGGGACGTTTGCCGTGTAGTGCGTTCACGAAATTTGGCGGCTGGGATTAATCCGAACAATTCCTCAGAGCACTCCCCGTGATAGATGCGATAAAATACGCAAAGAGATGCAACATCTCTCCGCAGCGCCAGTGAATCGAGCCGATCGGAAAGCACTCGGTCGTCGACGATTCGAGCCGCTCTGCGCTGGATGCGGTGAAGTGGAAGAAGCTGGTACTGGGGAGCCCCAGCCCAGAGATGGGAACAGTATTCCATGAGCGGCCGAACCTGTGCCTTGTAAAGTTGCAGGCGGTGTGCCGGCATGAAATACTGTCCCGCTCTGCTGAGCACGCCAAGCTTTTTAGAGGCCAATTTGGCCTTCCCTTCCAAGTAACCACGAAACTGCACGTCACTCGATATGTCGACGCCGAGGATTCCGATACTGGCTGAGGCAACAAGGGGAGTGCCTTGAAACTGAGGGGATACGACAAAGGGGTTCTTTTTAGCGGTTAACGCGCAAACTTGTGTCTTCTGGGGATTAAACTGGACTAGATTTAGTCGCCCCCAATCCGAGACTCTGTCCAGCAGAGACTCGACTTCAGACACAAGTTTGTCCCGGCACTCAGAGACGTTTTCCCGAGAAATATTGGCTCGGCCGGTGTAAAGAGCATCACCAGTGCTGTCATCTGCATAGCAATGAATGCTACGGGTTTGCAACATATGATTGATATGCAGAAGAAACAGCGTTGGCGATAGCACGCAGCCCTGTGGAACACCAGCATTAATAAGCTTGCAACCGGACATTCAAACGAAATACAATACGACATTCAAACGAGGTACAATATTTAAACGAAATACAAACCAATATTTAACACGTAGAATCTCACCACCATCCTTCACAGTTAGCTACCGTGGGCAAATCTTTGTTACAGAGAGCACGAGGGATCTGTGACAGCAAACACCTGGCCGCCGAGCTTCAGCACGTCAAGCAAGTTCCGCACGACAACAAGCTTCGGGTCCCGCGCCTACGTCACAGTGACCGAGTGAAGCCGGCCACAGTCGAGCGTGTGCCTGCTGTACTACCATATGTCAGAGCTGTCACAGACAAGATTGGCTATATCTTGAAGCGAGCTTCTATTAGAACATTCTACAAGCCGCCGAAGAAGATTAGTCAGTTCCTACCATCCGTCAAGTGTCATATTCCTCTACAAGATGCAGGAGTGTACAAGCTTGATTGTGAATGTGGTCTCTCTTATATAGGACAAACAAAAAGATCAATTAGGACCCGCGTAAAAGAACATATAGCTGATGTGAAGCATCAACGTTCCGGGAAGTCTGCAGTTTGTGATCATATCCTAGACGGCCCCAACCATTACATCAGATTTGATAGACCACAAATCCTCGCGAAAGAACACCGATTCCTACCAAGGATGATACGTGAGGCTATTGAAATTAAAAAACATCCTAATTTCAATAGAGAAGGAGGCTGGGTACTACCACCTGCTTGGGATCCTATAATCAATAAAATTAAAACTAAACCCAAGCATACCACTGCAAGACCTCAGGACATAGTCAGTTCATTTTGCATAGATCGGACCATAAACAATAATTAAAAAAGCTGAAGGTACTCCGGGTTTAACAATGACATCGGAACGTCAGTCATCTCAGTCCCCCGTGACCATGGGCGCTGGAAAGCGCCCGAAACGTCGGGAATTAAAAATAAAAGTAAATAAAAAGTAAAAATAAACGCGATAAAATCCGTAAAAGTAGTTTTAATCACGACTTTTATTAAATTAAACGCGATAAAATCTATAAAAATTGTTTTATTCAATGTGTAGCGATCGCGTAAATATAATAAATCATTATCACATAATTTTATTCTATGCGTGTT